CCAGTTTTCAGTGTCCACATATAGTTAGGGTCCATTAATAAATAAGCTTCTTTGAATTTTTTCAAACTTTTCTCAACGGATGCCATATTTAACTTGTCATCAGTAGATTCGTCATCAATAAATTCGTCATCAATATATTCATTATCAATAAATTGGTCATCAGTGTAATCGTCATTAAGAAAGGTTTCGATATCTCCACACTCCACATCGGGGATTGGATTATTTTCAGATTCAGTTTGGCCACTTGGTTTCATCTAGATCGTGACAAAAATGTTGATAAGTTATTAGTTGCCTTGAAGAAATTATTACAAAGAAACACTTGGCCTCACCTTTTTGGTTGGACGGATTGCAGATGTTTTTTTTTTAATGTTTGGTTGTTTATTATTATTGGAACTTTCCTGAAAAAAAAAATATTGATCTCACCATTCAAATTCTACAATAAATACAAAGTCAATTAATGAAGGAGGCAACGTGAGCTTACATTTTCCCTTCTTTTATATGAACCGGAAAGTTCTCGATAATCCAGGATTGTCCTTCCATCGTGATTCTAAGAATTAAAACTTTAGCTCATTAGGAACAAATCACAAAATAACAAGTCATTAGCTAAAAAATGTGCACCTGCATCTTTTCCATCATCAATTTTCTTTTGTTTCCAATTATACTAGTATGCAAGTTTAATTCTTTGCCTCGGTCGAGAATATAATTTAACTAATAAAAGGGTATTAATCATAACTTATATAATGTAAAATATCGCAACAATCAAAACTTACATCTTCAGTTTCAACCTGTAAAGTTTTTAATTCATTTTGTGCTTTAACATACTGGAGATCTTGCTGTAAATTCTGGGCTCTATAATCATTCCAGAACTTCTTAACTTCCGGAGAATGCTTGATCTCCTAGAAAAGTATTCCAATTTTAAGAACACGGCAAAAATTAATGATCAATGATTATAAAAACTGTGCAATGTAAAATATGTTCCTGTACAATAATACATCTCAGTCTCATGACAAACTGCAACGAGCTCAGCGACTCAACACTAGGTTGACTCAGCGATCACCCAATGTGTTACAGCAATAGACTCAGTGATCCTACCAAGAAGTCCCAATCAACTCAGCGATTGATTGTGCTCATTATTGCAGAACTCAGCGATTCATACAAGGCAATAAGAGCAGGAATCTTGGCCTGTCAGCAGAACTGAGACGTAAAAAAAGTTTACCTTCCAGTTGTTGAGTGACTCTTGTGCTCTTTTTGCATTTGTATTATTTTCATCAGTTGCAAGTTCCTGGAGAAAATATTTGAACGCACTATGTTCTCTCTTGCTATCTAAAAACTGTTGTGTTTCGGATCTCCATTTTAAGAAACCAATAAGTGACCACTTAGACGGTTCATTGTTTTGAAAGTAGTTAAGTCCTGAAATATTTTCCATAGTTTTCATAAATTGTTTTATTGTGAAACTTTAGGGGTGTTCAAAGTTGTTCCTGTTCTTGTTACACGGTCAAAATTAAATTTTATTGGCTGGTCAGAAGGAACAGGAGACGATTTTTAAAAAAAAAAAATAAAAAATAAAAAATAAAAATAAAAAAATGAAAACAAGAAAACGAGAATATCATAAAATAGCTTCTACTAATAATAATGTACAACAGCCTCGTCCAGTTCAAAGAGTAGCTTCTACTAATGATATGCAACAACAACAAAGCATTTATCCAGTTCAGGTAACTTCTACTAATAATAATGATGTGCAACAACAAAACTTTCATCAAATTCATCCAATTCAGTTATTTCTTGGAATAGATTTAGAAACAATGCCTCTTCAATTCTTTCACGAGTTGACATCTTTTTTAAAAAACGCGTAAATTTTATTGTGTATATCAGTCCCAAATATAGAAGTTATGGAAACAACTATATAGGAAATTTCTGCTCAAAGTTGATTCTTATTTCCATTACCTAATAAGGTATTGTACAACAAGGAACAGGAACAGGAACGTAACAACTTTGAACACCCACCCCCTATAGTAATAGTAATAGTAATAGTAATAGCCAGTGTAACACGGAAATTGAAAGTGCATCAATGTTAATAAACATGACTGTTATATTGTAGAGACATGTTTTGCAAGTTTAAAATATTTTTCAAAGTTAAAAAAATCCCATTTATTAAAAATGCAATTAGAATCTTAAAACATCTATAACTTTAGAAGCAAATATCTAGGAAAAAAATTGAAAATGTTTTTAATTTCTAGGAACTTATCTATAACGTAACAATTATGGTTGCTTGCCAAAACTCCTCCAGAAATCAATCGGCAGAGTTCGGCAGACATTAGGAGGTTTCGGCAAGCAACCTTAAGCGGTCTAAAGGATATTTATATTCTCTAGATATACGGTATGTGCACTCGAGATCATCATTTTAAAAGACAGCCATTTTGTTAATCAATGGTATTGTGATTTAATTCTACTCTAGCTATCAGAAATAAGACAGCTCGACCAGCTTTAACTTACATTGCTTTGAATCAACATACCCTGTATAATATTACATTGAATCAAGTTTACATAAGAACATATCATCTATTTCATCTTTAATCTTTTAAATACTGGCGTTGCTAGTATTTATTAATAACCACAGAGAAATTCTGGGTCACAATCTACAAGTAGAGATTCTACCACAAATTTTTATAATATAAGATGAAACAGAGCAAAGGCAAAAGTCATCTTGAATGAATGAATCCATTTGGCTACTATTTACTACGTCCTTGTTAACACATTCATATTTCAAATTTTGTCAACCACACTGATCATTCAATTTCATCAACTTTGTCAAATATGACGAAATTAACAACGATTTGACAAAATAATTCCCCCATCTTGAAAAATATTTCGTGAACTATTCTTAATAAGTACCAAAAAAATACTCATATTAGTGATGATGGCTTGAATCAACCAGTATTTTGGGTATTCAGGAACATTACAAAATAATTTTAATTGATTTTATTTACATGCTTACATATATTAAAATATTCTCCCATAGGAAAAGCGTCAAATATTAACTGGTTCTTTAGAATGAATGCAGTTTTAGTCATCCGTAAGTAACATGCTGGATGCCAGAAAATCACTATCCTAAATACTTCATCAACAATCCTTTCCACCCAGGGTATTTAAAATTAGCTTGAAGAAAATGGATGGACAATTTTATGAATTTGAAATTAGTTTAATAATAGAATTTCCCTCTTTTACCCAAACACCTCGTTGATTGGCTAATTTCACATTAATTATTGTTACTTTAATAAATATAATTAATCGATTAAAATTTATTATTACATTAGAAATTCAAATCATTATTTGTGCAAATATCAGTCCTTTAAATCCAATGAAAAATTCAAATTATCATTCATATATTGATCATGGAGTAATTAATGTGGATGCATTATCATGTATTTCCGTGAGAACGTTTTTTCCTTTACAATATTGTTTGCCTATATAGAAGTATAGAAATAAAAGTTAAATTAAATCTACCTATTTATATAAAGTCATATGTTTAAGTGGATAAATTTTCTTGTGTTATACGAAAAAACTGGTAGAGAATTTTTAAGTGAGGTACTTTAAATGAGCCTAAAAAAGTGGGTAAAATACTATTAGATCTTCAATTAGAATTATCCGGGGGCCTGTATGTATATTGTAATGACGCAAGAAGAATAATAATCATGGCAAGTTATAATTTGAATTTGAAATTTCACTTAATTAAACTAATTATTATTCCGTATATTTTCTTTCAAAATAAAAATGCTTCTTTTTTACAAAATGAAAAAAATCAAATTGTCTTTACATGAGTTGTGTTAATGTTTTTCGAATTTTGACTTTGAAGTTAACTACGTGTAATAGTAATACGCGATAATATTAATAATGTGCTTGAGCTGTCTTTAGTGTCTGAATTTGAAACACACATAGGCTGGTCAATGTTGGTACGTAGAATGACTTTTACATAGTACACGAGACGAGGTTTAGGTAAAATTTTAAAAGTGATAAAAATAGTAAACAAAGAAAAAGAAGAATGCTAAAATTCTTTACTGTTGAAAACGATGAATTTTTAAGTTATTCTTTAAATAATGCAATTTTTATATTGATATATAGGAAAATCATAAACTATTTAGAATTATTCCGTCACATTAAAAAAAAGGAAATAATGTAACTGTTACATTCAAATTTTCTCCACTAATACACAAAGTTTTATATTTTGTATTTTATATTTTTACATAATGCCATATTATAATTTATTATCACCAGAAAGAAAGGATTTTGTATTTAAAATTAATTCTGAAATGCGTAATAATGCTGCAATTAATTCTGATAAAGAAAGTAGGAAAGATTATTTTTTTTCATTAGTCAATGAAAACAAAGAA